GTAATTAAAATGTAAAAATTAAAAACTTATTAGATTTGATAATGAAAAAAATCATAAGACAATTTTTCCATGAAGTATGATTACAAGTGGCTTGTACAGGATTCATTAAATACCATAACTTGAGCCACACGCTGTGTGATTTATGGTTTGTATAATGGGGTTATTAGTTTGACAAAAGTACAAAGAGCAATATAAGGATAAAATTAAATAACAGGTGTAAAGTGTTATAAATTTTGAGCTATTTAGAATAAATAATTGAAATTTTTTTATTATAATTTGCAGCCATTCTAGAAAGAAGAAAAGGGCAAGAAAGATTGGTTTTGTGGTGTTACAAAATTGGTGAAATCAATTGAGTCGTGTATAGTATTAGAGTAGAGAAAATAGCAGATAATATATAGATTTTAACTGAAAAAATGTTGATGTTCATTTAGAAGGTTTTAGAGAATGCAAATGAAATTTGAAAACTGTAAGATGAAAAGAAGTATTTTTATTTTTTTACATAAAATCACTCAGATTGATGTTGTAGAGGCTTTGTAAATTCACAGCCAAATCTTTTGTAGGAATACTGTATAATAAAATCTTATTTTCTGTGTAAAACATCCTTGTAATGTTTACTAAAAGCTTGCCAAATTTGGTGAAGATGCCTTTCAGAGATGTGTTTACTTCTGATACAGTATGTAACCTCTTCTCACATATAGCATTCCCAATTCAGTGCTTCCTGCTATATGCTAACTTTTTTGCTCACCACAAGCCTTGAGGCACCCACCTGAACTTGTGTGTTTCTCTATGATATTGCCATGTCCTTATATGCAAATGATCATATGACAACCCTCAACCAATAGGAATGTGACATTCCCTCCTAATGCAGTTGACTTTCACTATACTGATTGTTCAATAATTACTTCTTGATTTAGTGATCGTGTGTGGTTTTTTGTTTTGTTTTTTATATTGATGTTTTTTTGGGGAAAGTATCTCCAAAAATACCAATTGTCATGGAAATATTAAATTTGAATTTTAGTTTTCAAACATTTCTGCATCTCCAGATTTTGTGGCTTTTTATTTCCACATTATAAATTTACAAGTGATGGTAACTTCCACTTTGTCTCATGTCAGAGAACAAGATGTTGTTCGCATTAGACAAACAATTAATATTGTGTTGGGTTCCTTTTTCTCTGTTAAAGAATTGATGGCTTTTGTGCAATGGGAGATGAATTCTTTCATGTGACCTGGACATTCTACTGAACCTGATATACCACCTCCTATAAATCCTGTTTCTGACAAAGAGGATTTTGACAGTCTTTTTCCCACACCTCCTTTTGCCAAATCTACCAATTCTTTTGTGGATCTTGTTCATAATTTCTGGACATGATTTCTCAGGTATGTTACCTTCTCTACTCTCTCTCTCTCTCTCTCTCTCCTGTCTAAGGCTTCTGTTTGTGGCCAACTGTTGCATGCTACAAGTTTTATATGAGGGTCTTACTCTCTGTTTTTTCCCCGCCTTCTCCATTGTATCATGTTCTTATTTCCTTTCCTCTTCCATGAGTTTCAATGTCTTTCAGTGATGGTTTCAGACATGTTGGCCAAGGATACTATTGAACAGGTTTCTCATCTTTCTCTGGGATTTCACTCCATCCTACCAGGACTCCTATGAACATACTCTTCTTTTGGAGGCAACTTGTTTTGGTTGATGGGTCAGGCTGGAGAGGTCTCATCTCAAGCTCACATAGTATCTGGTTCACTTGACTCTCTTCTTCATTACCCATCCCTGCAAAGCTTAGCCTTCTCTGCTTCATTGATGGGCCATAATGAGTTTGGTTTCACAGTTTTATCCTCTCCTCCTCTTCCTGAATGGGAGGTTCCATCACTTTTGGGGGCTTACAAAGCACTATTTACTCCCTTGGGACTTGTTCATATGCATCTTTTACAGTGCACGCTGCACAATCCATGGAACCTCTGTGAGGATCCCTTGTCCTTTGTTATCTATCTTCTGCCATGCCTACATGACATTATAATCTGGTGTCTTGACAGAACCATTACTCCAGAGGGTGTTCCTCTTCTCCCCTCTCATCCGAATCTTTATTGTTTTACAGATGTTTCCCTGATAGGGTTGGAGTGCTTATCTTGACTGCTTTGAGGTTTTGGGTCAATGGAACCTGGTAGAATTGCTCTTCATGTTAACCTCCTGGAGCTCTTAGAGGTATGTTGGTCTTTGGATCATTTTCTTCCAGTGGTACATGGCCATTTGGTAATAATTCATATGGAAAACTTCTCTGTGGTATGCTGTATCAATTACCAGGGAGCACTCAGGTTCACTTTCTCCATTTCAGAAACATTGACATCTTCTCCTGGGCCCATTCTCTGCATGTCCACCTTGTGGCCTGTAATGTACTGGGTACTCTGAATCTTACAACAAATTCTCTCTTATGGCCAGAAAAGATTTTTCACACAGAGGGGTCCATCAATTCTTGTGTTTTTCAAATGCATTGCACTTGTCTGGGCACTCCTCACACTGATGCCTTAGACATGTACTACAATACCAAGCATCCCCTCTTCTCATCTCCTGTTTTGCATCTATCATTTAATCAGGACTGATCCAACTCTTCTCTTTGGTTTACCCCTATTCATATCTTCCCTTATTTGGGACTCTTCTTGTCAGATCCTTCTGGTAGTGCCCCACTGGCTTGCTCAATCATGGTTTCATCTGTTGAATTTTCTGTTTTCCTCTTCCCTTCTCCTACTTTCTTCTTCTTCAGCTTTGTACTTCACTCTTTCATAATTGTCTGGTCTCGTAAACTATGTTCAGGACTCTTCATGTGTTGTATTGGTGAATCAGTGGTGTCATTTTGTCCTTGGTCACTATATCATTATTTTCCTCCTCCTCATCCTTCCATTCCCCATTTGTATATGTACTTCAGTAGGCTCTTTGCCTAGTGCTTCTCTGATTCAATTATTGATTTTTACCAGACATTTCTTTTTACTACTTTTTGGTTTTCCCATTACAACTTAGTTTTTTTTTGCTTCCCTGGACTGTACTATACTCATTCATTCTTTTCACCTCCATTGCCCTTCCTCTTCTTTTAGCTGACTGGGACCCTTTGGCTTCCTGTTCCTTAGATCATCTCTTCCTTAAAGCTTATTTCTTCATCCTTTTTCCTGTAGTTGTTAGCATTCTGATGTGTAAGTCATTGTTTTTTTCACATATTCTTTTTCATTGCACCTATGCCATTCTCCATCCTAATTGTCCTTTTTTTCCTCAACCATCTGCGACACATGAGGGGGACTGTGTATTCACACTTGTTTCTCTCCCTTCTGTTTCTCATCTGTCTTTCTGCCTGGATCCTGATTGTGTTCTTTGTTATGTACATGTGTTCCATTGTTATTTGGTATGCACTTCTTTTTTGATTCCTGGTCTAGTCTTTTAATTTTTTTCTATTATTTCTTCTGCGTGCATTATTTTTCTTTTTACCTTCTCTGGATGAATTCATCAGCTCAGCATATTCTTTGTTGGATGGAGATTCACATTAGCAATTCCAGAAGTCCTTCATCAAGTTCATTACATTCTGTTTGGCTGCCCACTTCTAACATCCATTGGAAAAGATTGGGCTGGCATGTGGACAGCTCCTCATGCCTTTGTTGCACACTATCTTCATTATTTGGCCATGTCTCCTTCATTGGGCTATGGACTATCTCCATTCACTATTCTCCACATCTTTTACTGTATCTAACTTAGTTCTTTTTCCTTTATTTTAAACTTTTGCCTCACTGGATTCACTCAGTTGCAATTGTGGCCTGCTACAGTATACTTATCCAAAATTTGCATAATGTAAGGCCATCAAGGCCTGATATAAAGCTCACTCGTGAGATGGGGTGTTCCATAAGACTGCTCTAGGTTTCCTCACAATGCTCATTCTCCTAAATAAGGGCCAATATAGACCATACCCACTCATGGGTTATCATGAGTAAAGCAGGCAAGGCATTCTCCATGACTAGTTTAGAACCTAGTGCTGACCTGCTTTTAAAAATATGGTTTTTGAGGTCACCTATTGCACTGTCTTATGGTGATTGCACTCCTATGGTCTCCCCTCCCCCTTTTCTTCTAGTTGAGCCTGGGAGTTCTTGCCTCTTACCAGTTCCTAGCCACTGGGGTGTTGTTGGACCATGGAGGCTGCTTCCTAAGTGTGACTGATTCCACTTAATAGAGAATAGGGCATTGATGTTCTATCCATGTAGTACAGTTCATCCTACTGCTGTCCAGATGTGGTGAAGAACCAGCCAACATAGTTTCTCACTCAGTTGCAGTTCCAGTGATAAATTTCCATTCTGCTTCATTGGACTTAAGATAAAGATGATAGGAACCCCCCTATAGTAGTCTAGATGACACATTCCTGGAGCCACCTGGTTTTGGACTGGAGTTGGTCCACCATGTACAGTCTGATGTGCTCTAGCCACACTACACAGATATAGCACTTTTTCATGAGCCTGATGCAGATTCTGGACTGTGCTTGTTTTTCCTTCCATCCTAGTAACACTTCTTTTCTTTATGACAGTGATATTTTTATTCAGTTTTTGTTATTTAAGGAATACCGTCTTCAACATTTATGCACACAAAGACAATAGAGTGATAAACAATTGTAAGAAACTAACCCTTCTTTTGTCGACCCTTGCACTTTTCTTCATATACAACAGTATTCTTAGATGTGGAATACATTATAATAATGTTTAAATAATAATGCTAAAAATACTGTTATTCTAACAATGCCATCCACTCAAAGAAAATTGCTAAACCGCATTGCAGAAAATTAAAATCATTAGATGAATAAAGATAGATATAGGTTAAATATTTAATTCTAAGAAAGTATAATGAATGGCTAAAATGAAAGTGAGTGTATTCATAATGTATGATAAAGAAGGAAGCCAAAAAAACTTCCTTCAAATGTTACATAATAGATAGGTTCATTCGTAGCATGTTTTTTTTTAAATGTGTAATATGTATTGTGTAGGTAAACAGATTCACTTGTGAGAAAATTGCTGAAGAAAATCCAGAAAGTTTGATCCTGAAAGGGGACATAGCTTTTGGGAAAGAGAATCAGCTGGAAAATGAGGCCAGAACAGCTATCAGACTTGCTAACTTTATATCGGCCATGCAACAAATCATTGACCCCGAAGAGCTATTTGCAGAGTTTAGAGTTCCTGATCGACCATTAAATGAAGATCAAGTTATTGGGGAAGTACTGGCTAATGTTATAGCTAATGAAAAAATTGTTGGTTGTGGAGTTTTCTTCAATCGTAATCAGTTTCCTAATCGAACACTGTTTGCCCCATATGCTTACCGCACTAAGCGTAACACACAGAATTTTTTTGTGGAAGACATGGCAAGGCATAGAGGAAGTAAGATGTATTTGAATAAGGACTGGTTCCAACACTTGAAGGTGCGATGGTTGACTAACACTGATGATCTTGAAACATACACAACAAAGATAATGATTCGTTACAATTCTTCAGGACACTATCCCATTAGATATGACCACTACCCTCTTCAGTATAAGGCTGCTGACATTCAGCATGGCTACTGGACATCACCATACTTTGACTGTAAAGGGTTTCATAATGAGTGGTTGGTAACATATGCAGCCCCATTCTTTGGTTGGGATAAAATCAAAAGTCGTCTTGAGTTCAAGTAAGTGGAAAATATATTTTTGAACACTTAAAATTAGAGGTGTAACAGCATGTTTCTGTAAAACATATTCCCAGAGTATTTATACATTGTTGTGTTATAGTGCAGCTTTATATTGTGTTCTACATAAGAACTGGGCATCTAAGAGTCAGTTATTCAATTAGTATTTTTCTTTATACTTGGGAGGTTTGTTCTTCCAAGTATATTTTGATTCTAGTTATTTTGGTGAAGATAACCAATGTTATTGTATCCACAAACAAAATTATTCACTACTGATTTGGAATTTTGTGTTTTAATATTGTGAGAAACATGAGAAACTGTCTTCATAGCTAAAATCCCTGAAATGTTCTTGTTTTGTTTCTTCAGTCAACCCTATTTTAACACCCATAATTGATAATTATTAATACTGCTTCATTGTAGAAATCATTGAGTGAATGAATTGTTTCAATTTGTTCAATTTATATTTGTCTAAATTTGAGAGTGAGTTACAAATGATATCTTTTATGGAAGCACTTACACCAAAAAAGGATGTGTTGGTGGGTAATATGGCTTGTTATGTGAAAGAAAATAGCAAGCTGTAAAGCATAGTACCCATTGTATAAACCAAGCAGCTGTTGACAGTAAATCCTTTATTTTGAAATTCTTAATCAGAAAAAGACATTTTTTCATTGTGTACATGTTCTTTCTAGAAGAGAAAGCTTCAAAATAAGCATATACATATTTCTTGATGAACCTCTGAAAATCCTAAGAACATAAGTATTAATTGCATAATGTAATTTGTTGACAAAAAGTTGTAGTTCAGCACATAGGAGTTTCTTCAAAAATAAAATACCTAAAAGTAATGTGACATTCAAAAACAAATATATATAGATAACTTAAAATATCATCAGCATGTATTAAATAATATTAGAATAAGGATGTTTGTTACAATTGGGAATAAAGCAGTAGTAGACTCGCCTATTGCATTTTTTTTGCCAGGACAGTGGTACATCACTCTCCTCTCAGTAGCAACATCTTGAAGCACTATGCAGCACAGGGTTTAGAATATAATTTGAAATATTATGTATCACATGTAGATGTAATATTTTTTTAAAGTTAGTTTGCGTTTCAAGATACAATTATAAAGAGTATTTCAAATAAATGCATAAATATTCCAACATGTGCTCTAATAGTCTGTTTTGGTTCAGTTCTTACACAGTTGAAAATATTAATTGTTTGAAAACAGAACAATGTCTTAATTAATGAACTGCCTAAATTACTACCCATAAAACTTGCTGATATTTAAAATTTTAATGCAAAAATATCTTGTAAAATTCACTTTATTTCCAGTTTTTTTATGTTCTATCAGAAACAGTATTACATGAAGTAATTTTGTTTTGACATGAAATGAAATAATTGGAAAGTTTTTATTTTAGGTAAGTTTGAAAGAGTTACATTAAGTGCTCATGAAAAAAGCCTTTTACACAAAATATAAAATAAGAAATTAATAATTTTTTAAAACTGATATTGTAAACGTTTTTTATTATTGACCCTACATTACATATTCATGGTTCACACAAGTCATGGAAAAAAGTTCACTCCTGAAAAAGTCCTGGAGAAGACCTGGAATTTTTTTTTTCTTAAAAGTCCTAGAACTTAGACACCCTAATGCTATATATTAGTGGCAAATCTTCAAATAATAATTTGTAAAATTTCACTCCTGAAGAAGACCTGGATTTTTTTTAAAGCCCTAGAACTTAGACACCCTAATGATATATATACATATATCTTCAAATAATAATTTGTATTTTGAAATAAAACAAAAAATACCTAAGTTTTCAGGCTTTACTATTTTATTATTTGAAAAAAAAATTGCAAGATCATAATGCAATTAAATTATCAGTTGTTGTTACCTTTATTTAAATTTTATCATCCCAATGCAGAGGAACCACTTTTTAAATTTAGTAAAGATATGTATGAAATAGATAGTATTAAGTCCTGGATTTTTTTTTCTCATAATATCTATGACAACCATGCATAGTTTTTGTCAAGTAGGTTTAACTCATTTTAATATTTGTTTTTACAGACATTTTTATTATTGTGGCAGTTCACATTAACTTGTACCTCTGTTAGTCATAGCTGTTGTAATTTTGTTATAGCTATAGTGTTGTATAGGGATTTCAACAGCTGTGTGATATACTTTACAGTACATTATTGAAACACTTGCAGTTATACATGTAATATATAAATTTGAAATGTTACTTACAGTTGTAAGTGAATTTGTCATACATCACTTCATTTTATGCAGGGGTGCAGTAACGGTGTCAATGAAGTTGGAGGAACTTGATATAAATCAGTGTCCAGATAATTACTTTGCCTCTAATGCATTTAAAGATACACACAAGTGTGATCGGAAGTCATCGAGGGTGAGTATGTTAGTTATTAATAAAAAGGACTCTTCAACAGTAAATAAACTGTCAACTTACATAATTGAACTGTGACCTTAATCCTAAGATTGCATATTTTTATATGTAGACTTCTTTTAGTGCTTCCACTTGCAAGAATTGTAAAGGAACTTTGGTGTATTACTACATCACATTTATTGATCTTCTAATGATCTAGTTTGCATGTTAACCTTCTTTTCATGAGTATCTTTCTCTGTGCATGTCATGAGGGTTTTTGTAAGTTGCATTCAAAATTTAATGAAACCATTATTTTCATAGTGTACCAATAAATATAGCATAAAACATAACGAATAATCCATATTTTAATAGTATATGTCTTCTTATTTTTATAAGGCAATATTTAAAGAAAAATATAGAATATCTCTTTGTGTCATTTGCTCTCTAGGCATTCCCTCTGTCTTTATTTACCACCCCTACATAAAGGACGAAATTTAACGTAAATTACTTAGTATAATATCTTCGTCGCTTAGGCAAAGCGTAATATTCATAGCCTTCAATCTTATTTGGTTACAGAGCCATCAAATGGACAACCAAACCCCTGTTGCAATGTTCACCTGTCACATCCTTCCTCTCTTTCAGAAATTGCCAATAGTTCTCTCTAAAGTTCAATACTATATTATTTATAACCAATAGAAATCCAAGGTTTCCATCTGTCAAATGACGTATTATGTTGTTTTCTGTACAGAGAAGTATTATTTTCACTTTTAGTTCAAGCCTTATTCCCAGGCAAACAAGTCGACTGGCTTAGATGAATTTGTAATGGCTCTTGTTGCATTGTAAGAAAGCCAGAAAAATTGTGTGTGTTATGTCTGCATTTTCCACATTAATATTCTGTGTTCTTTGATGCATTATATAATTTTGTGAAGATACACTTACTTCATTAAAAGTTATAGTATAGAAACTATAACAAATACAAAATGGTTATGAGTTCGGTCCCTGGGACCAAGCTAAGTGGGAAGAGTTAATTCAGTGTTGTAGATATAATAATCTAAAGTATAATTATTGTACTTAAGTAGTTGTGTAGCATGTTAAATGTGGCTGACAAAACAGTAACTAAAAACGTTTAAGTGGATGCTAAAAAATCATTACAGGGCATTTAAAATAATTTAACAAAACTCACTTAAGTATTAATATTTTCCATTATATAATGGTGGATTCTGGAGGCCAGTTTCACTTTACCCTGTCTGCTGTAAGATACAAATGTACAGAAAAATATGTGCATGTGATTGGCCTAAAGGGTCACATCTTTGTGTTCATTTGATTTATTATGTGTTGCAAAATTCTGTAAATATAGGCAAACTAAATTCGTGGAAAACACCTGCTGAAGCTTGAAACAGGTGCATGTGAAAAAAATTTGAAATTGTATGAGATTCTGCAGAGCATTTTGTGTACTATTTGCAGCAGTAATAGCTTGTTACATAAATGTAAATCAAGTAGATATGATTATGGGAAGCTATTTCTGGGTAAAATAATTACAATTTAAGGCTATGACTCTGCATCATAACATGAAAGTAAACTGACTAATATTGTTTTGCAAATAGTATTAAGTACCACATGTAGCATACCATAAATATTTTGATAGAGTGCATATCCATAATTCAAATGCCATAAGGGCTTCCAGAAGTTTGTGAAAATTATGATTGAATTTTCATTGCAATTTCAAAACTGGTTTTTACACAACTGTAATATATATGACATATGTCATCTTTGTGAATCATTCTGTGGTTGCAGTGCTAGAGAATTAATCTACTATGCCTTTTTCTATTTCATTTTTTAAGACACTGAATTTTGAAAATCACGATGTTGGGAATACATTTTTTTTTTTTTTTGAACAGATGAATTGATATTTATCTGAAATGTGTATACTGGGCATGTCAGATCTGGTTTTTGCTATTTTGAAGTAAGTTTGGAATATCAAATCTGCTGACATGATGAGGCATGTTGGATGCTATTTGTTACCTGACATGATGTCATGACATAAAAGTCAAGTTAAGGTCATTCAAATGCATAAATGTGCATAATTATATATCACACCCTGTATTGGATCAAAATATTTTAGATCTCAAAACTTTTACCAATTTATGCAAAACCTTCAAGGAAAACATTTTTGGAGTAATATTTTTGTACTCTATAAGTTTTGTATTAGCACATTTTACCTCAGACTGATAGTTGCAGATGGCATTTGATTCAAGCTATATATCATGATACCATGTCAAGTAACAAATGGTCTTTAAGATACCTAAACACCCTATGTTAGCAGATTTTCAATATTCCAAACATTCTTTACAGCAATAGGAAAAATTAGGACTTTTGATTCACCTAAAGAAAGAATTCTAGACGAAATAATGGTCTGTTATTATAAGTAGATAACTCAATAAGTGTTATAAATGTAATAAAAATTGTGGAAGTAATGATACATGTGATGTTATGAACTGTTATATATATATATATATATATATATATATATATATGGGTCAATGTGTAGGTTAGGTTTTAACTGCATCTGCTTTGATGTTCTTCCTAAATCATACAATAATATTGGCATTATGCAAATGGTGGTGAGACATTGTTCTCCAAGTTATAAGTAATGTCAGCTATGGTGTGGGGGCTATAGACATACCATCTGCACTAACCTCGTGAACTATAAATAAGACTTTCAAAATCCACTTGGAATCAAGATTAGCATGTAGCACAACGTATTGCTTACACCAAATTACTTTTGTGGCAGTGTGTGTATATATATATATATATATATGAAATATGAGGAACACAACTGTCATAAGTCATAATGAGCTGTTCAGTTGTAATACAAAATATTAGACAATGGAGGAAACCTAATGTCTGAAACATAATATATGAACAAGCATAAAAACGTATGTTATGAAGTATTTGTATTTGAGTTGTTCCATTAAAATTTGTACATAGTGCAATAAATTGTTCAAGGTATCCTCTGATTTTTTGGCATACTCTGAAGTAGTAAATATAACTAATAAGTGTTTGTGTTTTGGAAGGTCCATAGCAAAAGATTGCTTGTTTCTAGTAGAGAACACCTCATGCTGTACCCTAAACAACTGAAAACTCATTCTCAGCCATCCACAATATACAACTAATGAATAATTGTATGGTAATTATCTCACTGTGGGTAACCTTGAGTGAATGTGTAGCCAATAGACATTACAAAATCTTAACACATTTAAATGGCAGAGTGTCTTCAATATAATTGTACAACATTGAGAATCAATTAGCATTTCCAGAAATAACTCATATTTCTAGTGTTCAAATATACATATTTTGAAATACAAGTTTGAGATTATCTATAACACATATTACTGAAATATAGTGAAATTTGCATTTTATGAAACAGTGACATGGGCTGTTTTTCTGTTGTGGCTTTGCTATGTAGATATGTTGAAAGTAAGACTCGTATTACCAGCACTACGAGCAGAGACTAAGGTGGGGAGACATAAGAAGATCATTTAGGCCAAGCAAGTTCTACATTGCTTAAAGCATTTATTGATCAAAGTCTCCAATAGGGTTTTATATTGCAGACTAACAGTCAAAACAGAGATTGATATATTTCATCCCATGCATCGTACATTTACCATGCTTGTTTCAAAACATATAGCCCATACCTTTCATTGGTTTATAACAAAATCTAGTTATAAGAAAATATGGTGAAACAGTAAAACACTAAAGTTATCATAAGAGATGATTGGCAAAATAATATTTTATAGATAATAATTACTACAGCTGGGAAATAAATGAATAAAATGAATTATAAGAGCATCGATCAATTAAAGTTAGTGTTTCCAGTTGTTAGTTTTTCGTTATTCCAATTATCTGAGTTAATCAAAATAATATTATGATTTTTCATTCTTATAGTCAGTTAATTGAAGTTTGTTAAGCTTAATTCATTTGTTTCATAACTCAAAAATAATCAAGTAACCAGAATTAGGGTTCCCAGTTAATTTCGTTTTATATTATTTCAACCATCCAAGCAATCGAAATATTGGCATTATGATTCTTGTGTGTGTGATTAATTCAAGTTTGTTCAGCTTTGGGCTGACATGGTCCTCTGATAATTCTTTCATTACATAGTGGAACAATTTGACTCACCTTGAAAGAGTGAAACTAAATGTATATAGCTCTTGAGTTTACTGAGTATATATTTAAGGAATTTGGCACGCTTTTAGTAACATTATAGCTGTTGTATACATAAAGATCAAATTTATTTATATGTTATTTCTACTGAAGATTTGTGAATTTACGAAGCCTTTTCTGTGTCAGAGTAAAAGGTGATTTTCATGTTTAGAATAAAAATACTTTTCATTTTGCAGTTGTCATATTTTACTTGTATAAGCTTTAGAACTTTCTAACTGAATAAAAAGAGTTCTTTTAGTATAATTATTTTGTGTTATTTTCTCCACCCTGACACCAACTGCCATGTGATGCATTTAATTTTGATTTCTCAACTTCAGAAACATGTAACTTCAATAATATCCTTCTGAAGTTTCTAACCAATTAGAAATTCAAGCTATACAAAATTATAAACAATAAGATAAAATTGAGCCTCCTACATTTATTATTTCCTGAAATATAGAATTTGTCATACCTACCTAAGAAGCCGTCCCATCTTTTTTTAACTTTCAAGAATGCATGCTAATGAACTCTACATAGCTGATGGACATGTTTGTAACAAAAAGAAAGAAAATAATCTCCTCTACAAGAATTAAATAAAGTATTTCAGTATTTTTTGCATTTAGTTGGAGAATTCTTCAATATGGGTTGAACAGATTTATGGGCTACTATGAACAGTAACAGAATTTAACACATTTTTAGCTTGCTTAGAAAGACAGATAAATTGTAGTAGTTTTGACTAATATGTTTTATGTCCTAAAATACATATATTTGAAAGCTACGTGAAATCTTTTTTGGAGATTCAAATTTGTAAGAAATGATGAAGGCAAACTTACATCATTACTTGAATGCAAAACTGCCTCAACTTTGTGTGAACTGAACCTAGATTTAATTTTTGGTATTCATTTAGGAATTAGGAGGTTCTAGAAACTATGTAAATGATAGAGGTTTTAATGTTGATGTTATTGAATTTATAATACAGAAAGAATATAACTCAAATTTTAGTAAGCCATGTCTTAGATAAAATAGTGTCTATAATAAGAAAATCAATAGTAGAGTAAAATTAGCATATATACACCTGGAAAAAAGTTAAGCACCTCCAAATATTTTTCAGGATTGCTTATTGAAAATAAGCTTTAATTTTCATGATGTTGAGCAATTTTAATATTTCAAACATAATTAAAAGGATGTGAGCGTTCAGGTGTGACATTTAAATCAGGCGCATTTTTTTCCCCACGTGCAACTTGCTCCCTTCTTCACGTCCAATATGCACTATTTTCTCGTGCATCAAATCCGTATTTAAGTCCCGAATTTCTGAATGCAAAAGCATTTTACCAAAGAAGGGCACGAAGACGGAAATCAGAAGCGCAGAGATGGCAAATTATTGGCGTCCATGCCACTGGTATTGAACAGTGATCAGCAGTT